ACAGTATCTTTCAGGAAATTATAAAGAAAACTGCCCTGAAGTCATAGAACCAGGAGGCAAAATAACTATAGAAAGAATCCCTGGCTCACTGCCTGAAAGAGCTCTCAAAATGAAAATGCCAAGGAATATAATAGCCAAATTTCAAAATTACCAGATGAACGAGAAAATACTGCATGCAGCCAGAAAAAAATGATTTCAATATGATGGAACCACACTCAGGATTACACAGGACCTCGCAGCTTCTACATTAAAAGACCATATATCATGGAATATTATATTGTGTAAGGAAAAGGAGCTTGGATTGCAGCCAAGGATCAATCACCCTGCAAAAATGAGCATGATCTTTCAAGGGAGAAGATGGAAAAGACCAGAGCTCAACAAAAAATGTGATCTTAAATGCCAAGATTCAAGAGAGAAAAAAAGGTAAATGGAACAGCAACATACAATATGTTGTTAATAAGGCAAACTTTTTATATCCATACACGTGAAGATGACACTTGCAACTCTTGAAAACTGTACTGTCATTACACCTTGTTGAAGGAGTAAACCTAAAGGGGGTGGATATAAGTTGATGTTGATGGAATGATAAAAAAAGAAAAATGTAAGCAAATGGGTTAAATGGAACCAAGTAAGCAGATTAGTCTGATCTTAGAAAAAGTACGGTGAAAGGAGGAGGCAGACAAGGGTAAATTACATCGCAGGAAAAGCCACAAAAACCTATTACATGAGAGGGAAAGAAGGCAGGGGGATGAGCATTGTTTGAAACTTACTTTCATCAGATTTACCTCAATAACGGAATAACATAATCAGATAGCTATAAAAATATAGCTTGCCCTATAGGCAGTAGGAAGGAAAAAATAAAAGAAAAGGGAGGGGGGATGGAAGAGAGGGAAGAAGCAGTAAGGGTAAAGGGGAAGAAAAGGGAAAGGTCTAATAGAAGGGAGGAGGGTCTGAAGGAGGTGGTGGTCAAAAACAAAACATTAGTGAGGGGGGAAAGGAAAAAGGAGAAAGAAAAGCATAAACAGGGGTAAAAAAGGATAGACAAAAAGACACAGATAGTAATTCTAACTGTTAATGTGAAAGGGATGAACTCTCACATAAAACGGAAGATAGCAGAACGGAATAAAAACCATATTCCTACAGTATGATGTTTACAGGAAACCCAGTTGAAAAAGAGTGACACATACAGGGTAAAGGTAAAAGGCTGCAGCAAAATATATTATGCTTCAGCTGAAGTAAAAAAAAAAAAAAGAAAAGCAGGTGCACAAGTCCTGATCTCAGACAAAGCAAAAGCAAAAAGAGATCTCAAAACAACAGGCACATTGCTGTTGGACTAGGGCAGCTAGGGGGCGATAGAGTGCATAGAGGTCTAGGCCTGCTCTCAGTTATTTACTGTGTGATCCTGGGTAAGACAGGGCACCCTGTTTGGCTCCATTTCCTCCTCTTTAAAAACGATGTGGAGAAGGAAATGGCAAAGCACTCCAGGAGCTCTGCCAAGAAAATTCCCCAATGGGATGACAGAAGGGGATCCTTCTCTATTAAGCCTGTCTCCGCACACTGACTTAGAGTTACTCTATCTGGTCCCAGCACCATTTGAAGTGAATTGGGCAGTGCCTGAGGGATGGGGTCTAGGGAGGAGGAAGTGATGCCTACCTTCACATTCATCCTCAGAGATATATCCTGAGGAGGATCCAGGGGTGTTGCAGGTGATTTTGGCCGGGAGAGGGAATGGTGAGAATCCTTTGACCCTACTGAAAAAGGAAAAAGGTGAAAAAGAAAGGGAAGGGGAAAGGCCAAGAGGGGAATGAGACTTGGCTGGAGACTTCCAGGTTGAAAAGAAATGATACCCAAAGCCCTCTGGTCCTGTTCTTATTCCTTAAACAGATGTATACATTTTCCCATGAGAGGCAGAATCGGACCAAGCCATAGCTCCCATGGGCCAAGGACGGCCTCTTTCCAAATTAAACCACCATGACGAGGTATGAGAAAAGTTAAGTGCTACCTGAACCTATCTCTTCACCCATAGGTCCTTCTCCCACCTGGCTTCCTGTGCTGTTGCTGGGCCCTGCAGCTCACCCTAAGAACCATGTGCACTGGGGCTAGGGAAAAGGGGTCCATTGCTGAGAAGGGTTGTTCCCTGCCCAGCTTCAGGCCTCAGGGTTCTTGGCCTTCTCCATGCTCAAAGTTGCCCCTCCCTAGTTCCTGTTCTCAGAGAGTAAAGGCAGCAGGATCACAGGCTCACTTAGAAGGAGAGAGATGGTGCTGGGCACAGGAAATTCTCATCTTTGTGAGGAAAGAAAGAAATACATTGATGTCTCTACTAAAAATCAGGGCTGGAAAGAAATGTGCACATGGGAGCAGCCGAGGCCCTTGGCTGCCATGGGCTGTTGTGATGGCGAACATGACCTAGCCTAGCTCTGGCTCCTCTCACCTGAGGGAACTCCCTTTGAATTTAGTGTGCTGGCCAACCACAGAGGAACTCCAGCCATTGCTGCTGTGGCTGCTGCTGCCGCCTCCATCAACATCTAGGTGGTAACTGAGGAGCAGGTTCTCACTGTGCCTAGACATCTTCAAAGGCTTTGCCTTTTCAGGAATTCTAGAAATTCTCCTAAGTAGGAAAAAGGAATGAGAAGTACCTTGTTCCCGACCTGCCCCCTGTCACCCAGAGGCTCACTAGATTCAAATTCTTCAAATTCTTCAGCAGATGGTGGTCCTTGTTCCCTTTCTGAGATTTCTGCTTTCAAGTATTTGTCTTGCTTTGGGTCCATTCCTTAAAAGTGAAAGGAAACTCCCAAACCATTCCTTGGACCACTGGCAAGTGGCTGGCAGGCGCCTGTCCTAAGACTGGCTGAGAGGCCCTTCTCAGAGAAGGAAGGAAATCCCGGAGAGCCCCCAACTGTGTGAGACAGAGACCACTTACTCAAAAATAAAAACAAAGACTTAGATGCCTTGAAAGTAGAAAAGAGTTTATTGCTTTCTCAGGAGAAAGGGTACCCCCTTAGTCACCATTGTGACTAGGGCCAGGACAGTACTAGTTTGTCCTCCCTAACCCTCTTCCCCTTATCCCATTGGCTGGGCTTTCGGGGGGCACAATCTTTTCATGGAAATCTAGAGCAAAGGTAGTTACACAAGTTGGCCCAGAGAGAAGAAACTGAGGGAAGTTTTTGTAAGAGGTTGGGGACAGGGCTTATTCTTTCTGCTAAGCATGTAAAAAAAAAACACGGTCTGAGTGGGGGAGGCTTTTAAAAGCATCAAGAAATGTTAACAAGAACCATTGATTCCCTGAAGAGGCTTCATGTCTGAGAGATCATCTCTCACACAGGCAAGCACTGTCCTGGTCCAAGCTAAACAGCTGATACTAACCCTGATCTTCGGTAATGGGCTTCATGGGTAACAATGCTGGAAGGACAGGGTTTTTGTCTTTTGTTTTTTCTTCATTTGATCATCACAACTCTTAAGAATTATACAAGTCATATTACAGATGAGTAAATAGACAAGTGATAAGCTCCCCTGGGATTCCCACACTGCCAAGAAGTACCTCCAAGGCATGCCTGAGCCTTCCCATCTACCAGGTCACTGAGCTCCAACCTCAATGCGCCCTCAGGGATTTCTAATTTGTCAAGGCCTATGAAACTCGATATTGGAGTTATTTTTGTGGGAGAGGAAGATGAAGTAGGGGGGAAACCAGGCTTGGCATTGGAGGACTCAATTTTATCATGGAAACCTGTGTACCTGAGGATTTGCTGGAGGAGAAGTTCAGGATGGAGCAGAGGTAGATGTGCCTTGGCAAAGAGGGTTTGCAGACGAGAGGGGTCAGCCACTGTGCCCTCACACAGAGGAGAAAACCATGCCCTCACAGGGCTCAAGACACTCCACCTCCACACACCTACTCTGCCACCCGAATACTGGTATGATAGGCTAGCCCCAGGAAGTGGGCAGGCACCCTGTACCCTGCCCCTACTGTGCCTTTCTCGTTAGCCTCCACCTCTGAGTCCTGAGGACTCAGATGCAGAGAGCGGGAAAGTGGGGGGAACATGGCACTCATGCCTAAGGGGCCACAAAGAGAAAGGGGGCATTAGGTGGGGCTAGGGTGAGCCTGGGCCTTCACCTTCAGAGGATCATCCTTGGACTAGGGTGCCCCACTTTAGAGAGTTTGCTGGAGAGCATCTGGCCTCTACCACTGTCATGATGAGCCTAGCCAAGCCTGAGTATGGGGGGCAGGGTAAAACCCCCATTCTGGCCTTCCAAGAGGAGCACCTGGGGCCAGGGTAAACAGTCCTGGCACTGAGGGACTCCACTCACTCATGGACACCACTGTTCCTGGGGATTTGGGGGGAAGAGTTTAGGGGATGGACCAGAGGCGGCAGTGCTGAGGGGCATAATCTTGGTAGTGCAGATGTGCATTCACTCAGAGGGTGGGCAGAAAAGACCAGGTGCAGACACTGGACCCTGGCACAGGGAAGGGCACTGAGATCCAGACCTTCTACCTTTCTAACATCTTTTCTGATGGCCACTACATGCCACAGCGTGGTCCTACAGGGTACCTGCTGATACTGCTAAGTAGGTCAGCTGACTGCCCCTTCTGGGTTCGCCTCCATAAATGCATCCTGTGGTGTAGCGGATTAATGCATGGGGAACCCTGGGCCCTCACTAGAGGGACTGTGAGGACATAGAGAACCCGAGCTTAGACTACGGGCAGCCACGCTTTCATCCTGTGAGGATAGTCCTTGGCCTGGCGCTGTCCCAGTTTAGAGTGTTTCCCAGAGGGCAGCTGGGCTGTGGTTTTGGGAGGATGAGACTGGCCAGGTAGGGTCACAGTATGGATAAAGAGCCCCATTCTGGCCTGACTAGAGGGGTATCTAGGGCCAGGGATCAGGGATGGTCAGCCCTGGCACTGGCGTGCTGTCAGACCGACCTGTTTCCTAAACACACGCAGGGACACAAAGACATATATTTTTTTTCTCTCTCTCCCTTTCTCTTTCTCTTTCTTACACACACACACACACACACACACACACACACACAGACACCATTAGAACAATCAAGCACACTTTGTCCCAGAGCGAGATGGAAAGGCATTCTTTTTCTTCAGAGTGTGGCAGCAAGAATGAGATCTGTGCTGAGGAAAGCCTTTCCAGGTAGCCACCAGGGTAGGGTTTTCTGGGCATTCATTTTGGCTGTTTCTAATGCAGTTAAGAATGGAAGGGACATTTTCATCTCCTTCACTCCTTCCTCTCTTTCTAGCCACCCCCTTCCCCTGAAAAAGGAAGGCCTTCACTTTTAACCAGTAGATTAGAGGGCTTCAGACTGGCCTTATGATCAGCCATCAGACAATCTCCTTTCTTCTTTCCTCCTCATCCCAGCTCTGCAGCATCAGAGGGAGTCCTCCCTCTCATCTTTGGGGATGCATACCTCATCTCTTGGATTTGGCTTTGAACATTCTAGAGAATGCCCTGCTTCCCCCTTTCACTCTGGCCTAGAGGTGGGACCTTCTGCTTGCTCAGGATTACGTTGATGAAGTCCCCTGTTGGCTAGGGGTATCCCTCCCTAGGTGGGTGGAGCAGCTGCTGCCTCTGCCCTCTAGACCAAGTAGCCCTTCCATCCTGCCCACCTTGCCACCATTGTGGCTGCTACTGGAGCTGATTTGGAGCTTTTTCCAAGGGTAAGGATGTCCCCAGCACCTTGAACTTCTGGCTGCTGATGGAGGGAGTGGGAAAGTTTCTCCATCATTCAGGAGGGCCTTCTGTGCCTCAGAGATGTCCAGAGGGTCAAGGGCAACAAATAGTTCCTATTATTATTATCATTTCAAGTTTTTCAAATTTGGTTTTTAAAACTGAGTTCCAAAGTCCCTTCAATTGCAACGAGAGCAAGGTTCACTCCTGCCTTCTCACCTCCCCTCTCTTCCCCTCCACTGTAAAAGCACTTTCTTGTCCTTTTATGGGAGATAATTTATCCCATTCAATGTCTCTCTTTCTCTTTCCACAAGTGCATTCCTCTCTCACCCCCTCATTTGATATTTGAATGTCATCCTTTCATACTGAACTTACCCTATGATCTCTCATGAGAAAGGTCTCGTGGATTACAAATATCATCTTTCCATCTTTCCATTTCAGGAAATGGATGAATTGCTTACAGGTTTTTGGCTCTTCTGGCTTCCCACCTCCGTATGCTTTTCCTTTTTGTTTAATTGAATTTTATTGTAGAATGAAACACTACGACACAAATACAGAATAGAGAAAAGAAGAAAACATATCATAAACTTAAATGTTGCATCTTAATTACCAAGTACGAAAAGAAAAAAAAAGTGTCTTGTGCATAGCAGAACATAGGAAAGGATTCAAAATATGTAACAATACATTTTCATTTCAAGAAAGCCTGTATGATAAATAGTACATGTTGTGTCAAGAGTTGCCCGACTTCACTTCCTTGTAAGTTTTCTTTTTTTTTTCTGTGCTCTGTACCCTTTAAAATTTGTTCTTTTTGTTTTCCCCTTCTCATCCCACCCCCAGAAGGCTACTATTCAGTGCAGATATATTTCTCTACACTTATACATATACATATAAATATATATGTATACATATATATATGTATACATATATATACGTATACATATACACACGCACACACAGATATATATATATATATATATATATATATATATACACATATAGTTACATATATAGACATATCCTTTCCCAAATTCTGCTCCTGATCTTTGTGTTTATGTTTCTGCATATCTATTATTTCCTATCCCTCCTGATTTCTGTACTTCACTTCTACCCACTACCTTCCCTGTCTATTACTTAACCTAGGATTCCTCCCCTATCCTCCCATTCCCATAAATCTAAACACCCATCTACAGCCCCCTATAATCTATCCTCTCACCCTGCCCTGTACAGACCCGTCCATTTTCCTCCCCACCATCCCATTGCTCCTAAATTTAGAAGACTTTTAACTCCTTCCAAAGGTGTAGGTAGTGTTCCCTCTTAAACTCATTCCCAATGAAAGTAGGTTCGCAGAATTGCAAACCCTCCTCCCTCATCTCTTTCTCCTGTACTGGTACTTCCACTCACACCTCATTTGTACATAATAATTACTCTTTTTCACTGTTCCTAAATAGCTTTCCTTTTTAAAGTCATATCCTATTCTGGTCTACCCTAATGGTTCTGGTGAGCTACCACATTATTAATTATAATCTTACACATATATTTTGCTTCTTATATATAATAATAGGAAATGGTCTGTCCTTATTGAATTCTCCATAGCAAGTTTTTGGTATGTACTTTATGTTTCTCTTGGATCTTATATGTGAAATCTTCTATTAAGTTTAGGTCGCTTTTTGCATTTCTTTCTTTTTTCTTTTTTTAACAAAATATTGAATGCTTGACAATTCATCAACTCTCTGTTGTTTTCATGCAGGAATATGCTTAACTTTACTGCATATGACATTTTTGGATGAGCCCTAGTGCTTTTGCTCTTAGATATATCGTATTGTAAGACTTGCAGTCCTTTTGAATCTCCATTGCTAGTTCCCATGTAATGGTGCAACTGTCTTATTCAAATTGTTTTGTCTTGTTGCTTTTGATATTTTCTTTTTCAGCTGGGCGTTTTGAAATTTGTCTATAATATTCCTATGAGTTTTCCTCAAAGTATTTCTTTTAAGGAGAGATTAATGGATTTTTTTTTTAAATATTTCCATTCTACCCCTCCCCCTTTGTTCTCATGCTTCAGGACAATTTTATGTAATTATTTCTTGTATTATTGTAGTAAGACTTTTTTTTCACTCATAGCTATCAGATAATCTGATTATTTTTATGTTTTCTCTTCTTGATCTGTTCTCTAGATCTGTTGTTTTTCTGATAAGATATTTCATTTTCTCTTCTATTTTATTTCTTTATCCATATTTGGTTTAATTATTTCTTGATCTCTTATAATCTTGGTGGCTTCTCCTTGCCCAATTCTAATTTTCAAGTTGTCATTTTCTTCCTTGAGATTTTGGATCTCCTTTTCTAATTGGATGACTTTCCTTTCACAAGCTTCTTCTTCTTGTTGGATTCTTCTTCTTCTTTTTTTATTTTGTTTAGTTTTTCCCCATATCTTTCATTTCATTTTTAAAGTCCACTCAATGGGAAAAGAAGAAAGAGTGAGAATAATAGACCTCTGCCTCCTAGCTTCTAAATAGAGGGGGATAAAAAGGCAATTGAAAAAGGAAAGCAAGCTAACTTGGTTCCTACAGTTATCTCAGGACAATCCACCAGATCTAATAGCCCTGTAGTTGGCACTCCTGGGTCTTCAATACAGGGATCCTACAGAGCCCTGGGGACTGGGTGGTTGTGTTGGGGAAACACTGGGTTGGCAATTGTGACACAGATGAAGCTTGAGCCAAGGAGACTGACAAGGAACAGTCAAATATGTAGGAAGAGAATCAGGTGACAGTGGAGCTTCTCAGATTTTACTGAGTCAAACGGACTTACAGCCTCCCACACTGATCTGAGGCTTCCATTTCCTGTTATTCATTTTGGTGTCTCATTCTTCCTTATTGAAAAGATCATTCCATTTCAAAGAGAAAAGAGAAGCAAAGGAAAACATGAGTAGTGCAGTTATAATTTTATCGTCCCATTTTTGTCGAGGAGCAGTCCAATTCCTTCTTTGTACCCTTTTTTTTTTTGCCTCCAACATACCTGAAAGACACATGTGCGCGCACACACACACACACACACACACACACACACACACATGCACATACTCACATGCACATGAACACACAGGTACACACAAATTTGCATTTGATACTGAACTATTTAGGAGAATTAGACCTAATTGTCGGAAATGAAATGATTATAATAACCATTCTGAAGTTATTTCAATTTTTTTGTTTTGGTTTTGCAGTTAGGGTATAGGAAAGTAGTGTAGTAGTCACCCAAATGAATGATGTTGAAAAACATAACAGTTATTAAGGCACCTGTCATGTTCCCTCATGTGGAATTCCCAGACGTGGTTTACACACCACAATGCAATGCAGTGAGATGTTCTTTCTTAGCTGGGCCATGAGCCTGTGTCGATGGGGGAAAGGGTTGGTGGAGCCTCATTTCATCTCATTTGTGTTAATAATTGAGGCTGGGTTGGAACCTCAGGCCCTCTTGCTCTTTTAAAGCCTCTTCACAGTAGAGTGTTCTGTGACTACAAGGTGAAGATGGTAGCTCCCCAAAATATGTAGAACCTTGGCATTAAAACTTGGCATTAAAAGACCTGGGTTCACAGCTCAGTTCTACTACTTGCTATGTGATCTTACTAAGCCACAGCCTTTATCAAGTCCCAGTTTGCTTTTCGGTAAAACTCAAGCATTGGGTAAGTCATGCTTAAGCTCTACAATGGTGTCGTGGAGAGGATGGGATTGAGTGGACCACATAATAATGATGGAAGGACTGCGGCCCTGTTCTTCATTCAGAGTTATCAGGCCATGTCCCTGGAAGGCAACCCTCACTAATGGTTGCTGACATCAGAGCTGGGTGGATTGGAATGTCAACTTCCTTGTTGTCAGCCTCAATTCTCTGTGCTGTATCATGAGGGGGTCAGATTTGGAAGATCTGAAGGACTCTTCCACTTCTAGAGGCTGAAGGCCCCGTGCTTTGGTTCAAGCCAGATGGGTAGAGAATATGGGGAGTTTATATGGGGAAGCCTGTGGCCATAACTTCAGGCCTCAGCAGTTCTCCATCCATACAGGTAGACCTCCCGTATCTCCCTCACGGGACCTCCCTGCTGCCATAAAATCCCTGGGCCCATAGGCCACACTCCACCATCACCACCAATGAAATACAGAGAGCAATAGGAAATGTGAAAAAAACAAAATTTGAAGCAAGTTTCTCTGAGAAAGACCTCAGTTCTCTAACATATAGAGAAGTGACAAATTTATGAAAATAAGAGCCCTTCCACACTTGATGAATGATGAAAACATATAGTCAGTTTGCAGATTAAAGCTATCTATAATCATATTATAACCATTACTAAATCATAAGTAAACCTATCTTTAACCATATTAAAAGTATTCCAACTCACTATTGGAGAAAGGCAAGTTAAAACAATTCTGAGGTACTACATCAAAACTATTAGGCCATATAGTAGCACAGAAAAGGTAAATGACAAATATTGGAGCAGATGTTGAAAAACTGAGACATTAGTGTAGTATTGTCAGAGCTGTGTATCAATTAAATCACTCTATAGAGCAATTTGGAACTATTCCCAAAGGGCTATAAAACCATGCATACTCAATGCCATATTTCACATAGAAATACCCCTGCTAGGTCTCTAACCAAAAAATGATATAAGATAAAAAGGGAAAAGACCTTTAGGTACAAAAATATTTAGAGCAGATCCTTTCTGGGGGTAAAGAATTAGAAATTTAGGGGATACACATCAATTGGGAAATATCAGATTGTGCGCCGTCTTGGGAGGGGTGGGGGGGAGGAAAAGGGAGAAAAATTCTCAACTCAAAAGCATATGGCAAAAATGAAAAATAAAACAACTTTCTTGAGGGGACTAAGAAGTGACCTCACCCCTCTGGGGAGAGTGGTTCATGCTTAATCCCAGCTGACCTTGGGTCTTTCTCAGATGCCTCTTCTTGGTGCTATGGTGGAAGAGGACACCTGTCTCTAAAAGGTCTAGCCAGGATTTAAGGTCCAGATATCTGGAGCCCACCAGTTTACAGACTCAGGTTCTCCTCAGCACACAGAGGGCCCAGCCATTACAGACCACGAATCCCCAGCAGCGTTGTGTTTTCATCAGTCTCATTGTGTCCTCTTTTTCCTTCCAGGAGCTGGAAAACAGGGTGCTCCAGCACATGTCTAAGCAGCATGGGTAAGGCCCTAAACTGAGTGGCAAAATGAAGAGGATGGAAGGAGGGCTAGAAAGCTAGACCAGAAAAATCTCAACAAACAGGGGTTAATGGATCTGCAACACTTAGGTTAGCATGTCCATAGGATTGATCTGAGCTGGTGGAGAGCTCAAAAGCAGATGAGGTTACTGAGGACCCGAAGGGAAATGACCTACTCAGGGTCTCACAGGGAGCAAATGTCAGTGAAGACTTGCAGCCAGTTCTCTGGCTCTGTCCTTTCCATTGGGTGGTGCTTTTCATCAGGTGACACTTGTTCTGTTTGCGTCCATCTTCCAGTGCCTACAGCAAAGTGCACCTTTTGTCACTGGCTAGTTTGTCCCA